TTTTAATTTATTTTTGTCATCCCGTTGTGATCTCGGTTGCGACAGATGGCGACTCCACTAGGGATATTTTTTAGAGTCAAGCCTATAATAATTAGTTAAACTAATTAATAATTTTTTTAAAATGTTTATCTCACTTTTATTTTATTTTTTTATTATTTTATTTTTTTATTTATGTATCTTATTTGTTATTTGTCTTATTTACATGAATTATATAAATATGTGTTGTGTAATTTGAACTTTAGGATAGAAGAATTTTATTTTTTATATCATATGCGCTATGTTTTGTAGATTGGATAGTGTAGGATTGCTCCCTTCACACACTTCACTTGCACAATTTCACACACGTTTATGAGTGGGGTCCTATGCCCAGACTTTAGTGCAACTTATGATAAGTAAGAGGTTGAGTAATGGTAACCTTCTTGATGTACATCTTGTTTGGTTATTATGAAGGTCTCACCTAGAGTTTGATCCTTTCAAGGGTATTATCACCTCTAATAGTTTACCTATTATTGTGACTAATATCCTAAGAAGGGTTATTGGCTCTAAGAACCTGTTTTAGAACTATAATCCCACCCTTTTGAGAGGAACACATATTAGTAGTCGATAGAGTTTTCAACTTAGGGAAGCCCTTATTAAGTATCATAGGAGCAATATTCTACCTCTACGTTCGAATGATGCAAAAAAAAAAAGAGAAAATTTTATCCCATTCCATAACAAGCATCATGCATTTCATTTCATGGCAAAATTCAAAAAATAAACAGTTACATCATATCATGCATTTCAAATAGAATCATATAAAATGAAATAGATAAATTCATCAATAGCATACTACATTCATTTCTAGGTTGTTGGAGAGTCATAAAGATTTAAGTAGCTACGAACACCTTTCCAGAAGCCATGGAATCAAGTTTAAGGAAGACTTTGAAGTTAAAGGTCAGACAAAAGGATTTGAGTAGCTTGAAGACTCTCAGTAACATGTTAAAGGGCGGTCAACGATGAACTTTTGTTGTCCGGTATGGAAGAATCCTTAACCTATTAGAGGTGGACGTACAAGAGGGAGCTCTCACTACCCTAGCCCAATTCTATGATCCTCCTTTGAGGTCTTTCCTTTTTCAAGATTTTCAACTAGCACCATTGCTTGAGGGAATTTGAGCAGATACTAGGTATTTGCTTAGGGAATAAAAAGCCTTATATGTACATGGGACATTATCCTTCATTAACCAAAGTTGCCACATCCTTGGAGATTGATGCTAGAAAACTAGCAAGAAAAAAAAGAGATAAAGGGAGAGAATTGGGAAAAAGAAATTGTAATGCGGAGGGGAGTTATCAACAATGGCTCAATGAGAGGGTCCAACATGTCAAGTTGCCATTTTGAAGTCTAATTCCGGCTATTGAAGAAACACCAATTTAAGAACCCATGAGTCTAGAGGAAATTGAAAAACTTAAAGAAGAGTTGGCCAAATCTGAGAAAGAAAAAGAAGATATGAAGAGGGAGTTAATACAAGCATGCCAAGAGTATCAAGTAACGCAAAGAGAAATTTTCCAAGCAAGACAACGCGTTGAATTAGCCAATAAGCGAGCAATAACTGAAGAAGAGGGCAAGTTGAACACCCGTAGTTGTTTAGAGGCCGCTTCAATAGAGTTAAAGATGCGGAGAGGTGAACGTGACCAGGCTAGGGTTGATCGTGAACAATGGAAAGAGGCATGGGAAATATCCAAAAAGGTTGAGAGATTGGCACAAAAACAGCTTGAGGATTTAAAGCAACAACTCAGACGGGTAGTAGTGAGTACGAAAACAGAGTTCAAGGTGAAAAAGACTGAATTTCAATTTGAATATGGACTATCAAGCCACATTGGAGGAGAAAAATCATCAAGTAAAGCAATTAAGGGATGTCATCGAAATACATGAAGAAAATGAAAAAATTTGGACATATAATCTTGTAAATCGAGTTCAACAAGTTAAAAATATGCTCAGTGACATATATATATATATATATATATATATATATATATAATGTGTTTATGTATAATAAAAAAAAACATATCAAGAATATTACGCTTTATATAAATTTAAAATATTTACCCGTTAAAAATGTAATTGGGTAGACACACTTTTCATTATGGTCATTGAGATTGAACTTACAATATTTTTCATATATATTAAAATTAAGTGTTCAAAGTCCGTCAAATTTAATTATATTATTAATAAACTTAAATATCATCAAATAAATCATAATATTAGCTCAACTTTAAATAACAACACAATTAATTGCATATCACAAGAATTCATAGAAAATATTTAGCAAGTATATGCTCTTTCATCGGTTTTCATTAAAATGAAAACATTTCTTTTTTGCATGATAAAAATGGGATAACTTGTAATTAAATCTTTTTAGATGTATGTATACTAAAAATAAAAGAAAAAAAATAAACATTCACATAAAAGGTTAATTATTTAAGACTTATAAAATATGCTTTTAGTCTATTATAATTATTTTTATTTATTTATTTATCAAAATGTTTCATAATTATATTTTAATTTATTCATAATTGTTAGTGATACTACACTAAAATTTTAGTATGTGATACCTATAATTTTTTTTATGAATCTCTAAATTAAATATTATTTATTTATCTTAAAATCGTTCCTAGAGTTCCAAAATAGTGATTTTAAATTTTAGAGAGATGGAAGTAAAAAGAAAATTATTTTACAAGGATAAAAATTAAAATTTACTCATTTTATTAGCACAAAAAATATTTTACAAATGTTAAAAATAATGTTTATAAATTTTAGAACATTAAAAATAAAAATAAAAAAATACAAGAACCAAAGTCAAAATTTGTTAATTTTACTAAAACTAAAAACTTTTAAGCCATTATTTAATATTGACTTGCATATATTTTTAGGCCTTTGTAAAATTTAACAAGTTTTAATTTTAATTATTGTAAAAAAAAATTATTTTTCATTCTTCTAAAATTTTCAAACATTATTTTTTGTACTTATAAAATTGTCTTGGTCCTTGTAAGTTGAGTAAATATTTATTTTGGTCTCTATTCAAATATTTTTCTTTGATTCTCATCCTTCTAAAAATATAAAATCAGTATTTTTGACACCTAATTTTAAGTTATATAAATAGTATCTAGTTTAAGAACTTATTGAAGCTTTTAAAGGTGTCACACACTAGCATGGTATTATTGATAATTATGAGTAGTACATGATAAGATCACTTAACCTTTTAATGGACAGTTAAAAATAATTTCATAATAATGTAGACTAAAAATGATAATTCTAAATTTAAGATGGATGAAAAATAAATAATTTTTTTTACAAGAATTAAAATCAAAATTTGTTCATATTCCACAAACTAAAAACATATATTTAAGTCTATATGGAATAATAAAATATAAATTGAAATTTCTTTTAGCATCCTTAATGACAATGAGTTCTCAAATTTCAACTCGCATAAACTTTATATTCAACAAAAAAAATATCATTTAAAATTAAACTAAAAAAAGCTAACAAGTGTCTGTGATTATATGTATACAGTTAGTTTGTCAAGTAGAAAAACAGTGATATTAAAAATTAAAAATAAAAGTATTTTAATAGATTATAAGTTTTAATTGAAATGAAAAAATAAATATAACATATCAATAGTAAAAAATAATGATGTTTTATTTTTTATAAAAGTCAATATGACGACAAAACTTATAAGAGGGGAAGAGAGGGGTTCTAATGGAGAGGGAGGGGAAGAGAAAGAAAGGAAAGGAAGGAAAGAAAAAGAATTAGAAATTTTGTTTGATTGAGTATAGATGACAATGGGGTGGAGTGGATATAAGTTTCATTATTATTCTCATTTTCCTTCTTGCTCTCATTCTTGTATCTTTTACTCATCCTCATTTCCATATACGACGGGTATAAAATTTAGGCTTTCATTCCCTTCTCCGTCAAGTATCGGATATATCCGTATCTATCTCATACTCACCTATAATTTAATTATAAATATTTTGTTTGAAAAAAAAAAAATATATATATATATAAAAGAATTTCAACATATAGTAACAATTAGAAAATTACTTTAATTAAATTTCATTTGACATAAATTTAAAATAGTAAGAATTACATAAATGTTAAATTATTTTTTAAAAAAAATTAAATTAAATTTCTTGAAATTTAAAGTGGATATGGATATGAGATGAGTAATTATATAACCATCTCATCCTATCTCCATATCCGATTTAATAAATTAGATATTATTCATACTCATATTTGATTAAATTGGACATTTCTTGTCAAAATTGAAACAGATTCAAGTATTTGATATATGTTTACTTGTCATCGTCGATTGAGGAGAAAAGATGATATATAACTCTTTTTTATTTGATTCATTAGGAGATGATGAGAATTTTAAAAATTAATTCATCTTTATATCCTTATAATTTTAAATTTACAAACATAAATAAGGATATTTTTGAATATTATAAATCTTTTTGCTCCTCCAAATCCTCCAATATCAAAGGAAGTAAACATTAGTGATTAGATATTTTGCTCTCTTTCATTCCTCTTTCCTAAAAAATGAATTAAGTAAAATAAATCATAAAAATCACTCCCCTCCCTTCTCTTTTACTTCATTTTCTTCCCGTCAAACATCATATTAAATAATATTGTCCACAAACATATCATTATTTTATATTTAATTTTAAATAAATATTAATAATAAACTAACATCCCTAAATTTTAAATTAAGACACCAAATTTATAATAAAAAGTTTAAGAAACTAAAATTATACAATCATGTAACTATTTTGACATTTAAGCCACTTTTGTTTTTTTACATCATTCTCCAAGACCTTTACATTATTCTAATGGCTAATTTAGTAGCAAATCATAAATAGAGAACTTTGACGGGAATCGCAAGTAGCAACCCCACCGGCGGCTGGCGTTTGACACTTTGACTACATTATTCATATCGCTCATGTATATAAAGAATAACTATATATGTCTTGCTTTACAGTTCACAAACGAAACACTGCATCTCCAATATCCCTGCAACACAAATCTAAATTGTGTGTTCGAGAGTGTGAGCATGAGTACCCCAGCTGTTCGACATGTTTCAGAATGCTTCGTCAAGCCCCACCATCCCACCCAACTACCTGGTCCTAATCAAATCTGCCATTTAACACATTGGGATATTGCTATGTTGTCTATCCATTATATCCAGAAGGGTCTACTCTTCAAGAAGCCCGATCAACATGATTTCATTGAGAGTCTGTTGGACAAACTCAAGCACTCTCTTTCTCTCACCCTCTCCCACTTCTATCCACTGGCTGGTCGCTTTGTTACGCACAAAACACAAGACCCTCCCTCTTATGCTCTTTTAGTTGATTGCAACAACACTGACGGAGCCAAGTTCGTCTATGCGACTTTGGACATGACCATATCTGACATCCTTTCTCCCGTTCATGTTCCACCAATTGTTCACTCATTCTTTGATCTCCACAAAGCAGTCAACCATGATGGTCACACCATGCCACTCTTGCCCATCCAAGTCACTGAACTAGTCGATGGTGTTTTCCTAGGTTGTTCCCTGAACCACGCTATTGCCGATGGCACTTCTTATTGGAATTTCTTCAACACATGGTCTCACATCTTTCAAGCCCAAGCTCAAGGGAATGAATACGATGTTCCCGTTTGGCACCAACCCATTCACAATCCTTGGTTTCCAAATGATTGTCGTCCACCAATCAATCTTCCATTCAAACACCATGACGAGTTTGTCAACAGATTTGAAGCACCCTTGCTGAGAGAGAGAATCTTCCACTTTTCAGCAGAGTCTATTGCGAAACTAAAAGCAAAGGCGAACTCAGAGTCCAACACCACCAAAATCTCATCATTCCAGTCATTATCAGCACTTGTATGGAGATCCATAACTCGTGCACGGTCCTTACCTTACGAGCAAAGAACAAGTTGCAAGTTGGTCGCAAACAATCGTTCAAGAATGGAACCGCCTCTGGCTGAGGAATACTTTGGAAACTCGATTCATTCACTGAGTGTGGAAACAAGCGCAGGGGAATTGGTTGAGAATGATTTAGGATGGACAGCATGGAAGTTACACGTGACTGTTGCGAACCACAATGGCGGAGAGGTGATGCAATTTCTGCAAGAGTGGCTACAATCTCCTTTCATATTTAAACTTGGTCGTTTGTTTGAGCCATACTGTGTGGTGTTGGGTAGCTCTCCGAGGTTCAATGTGTATGCGAATGAGTTTGGAATGGGGAAAGCAGTGGCAGCTAGAAGTGGGTATGGTAACAAATTTGATGGGAAAGTGACATCATACCCAGGCCATGAAGGAGGGGGAAGCATTGATTTAGAAGTGTGTCTCTCGCCACAAAATATGAGTGCGCTGGAATCAGATGAAGAGTTCATGAGTGCAGTTTCCAAGTCCAATCCTTTCTACTAGTTTACTGATGCGTCCGTGCCTGACCAAAGTGTTTAAAATAAGATAATTTGTATTTCAATAATGTGTTTTATTTCATTCAAAGGAGAAATATCATTTTAGTAATGGGTATTAGTTGAAATATGTAACACAAGTCAGCATAAAATCGTGAGTTTAGATGTTTTCATGTGAAATTTCATTTTACTGAAATCTCTTTTAATTAAAAATAAGAGAGAAATTTTAAATATATTATTTAGTATATATTATAAAAGAATTTTTTTCACATAAAAAAAAATCTTATTCATTTTTTCTGCCTAATTTTTACCGATTTTTATTTTTAATTTATAAAACCACGTTATTATATTTAATTATAGTATTTTTTATACATTTAATTATAGTAATTAATTTTATTATGACATTATGCATTTTAATAATTTTAATCAGTATATATGTTAATTTATTTAACTAAAGTGATTAAAACTAATATATTAATGATATTTTCTATTTTTTATTAATTTCATCGAATATTCTTTCTATTCGTAAAACTATATTATTATATGTAGTTATAATAATTAAGATGATCATAAAAAGTATATATAATGATAGTATTTAATCAATATATTTTAATTTATATTAACTAAGTTTTTCTTATGCATCAGAATATACACAACACAAACAAACATAAAATTATTTGAATTTTCTAGTATTTTAAATTTCCACAACATCAACCGGGAGAATGAATGTGAGTTGAACTGGACAAATATCTTAAACAATGAGCGATGAGTTGCTAGAAGCATCAATCTTAGCTAATCTATCTGTAACGACCCGGCTGGTCACTACACTCACAACCACAGCACACCGGAAACACTAGACAGAATAGAACGAGTATATAAATATAGGATCTAGAATATAAATATATACAATGTCTCAATCCGACTAGAGTTAGTGTGTACAAACAAAATACAACCAAAGTAGCCAGATAGTGGCCCAACAACAAGACATCAGCCAAACAGGACTCCTCCCTTTGCCAACTGCCGACTTGCCACTATCACCAGTCTAACCCTGTTCTGCTCCCATACATAGTATGATCATCGCAGTCCAAACCACATGGAAACAACAAAGGGTAAGCTAGTGAAAAGAAACAACGTACATATATAAATATATGAATGGTAAACAGATTCAACTATCAGCTTAATATATATATATATATATATATATATCAGCACACATCTCACATCATTCAGCAATAACAGTAGTAAACACACAATTAATGCGTCGTCACGCATATAAGTTAGTATTGGTCGCTTGTAATCGGTATAGCTCGACCTGGCCCCTATACCGTGGTCGCTTTGTACACGTGTGCCTCGACCTTGCCCACACACGGGACCGCTAAGACTTAGAGGAGAACAGCAAGTTACCACTCCAAGGGTCAGCTTTCCAGGGAGGGTTTTCAACAAATTAGGCTCGCAGAGCACCACAGCCGCTGCATCCACACAATGGGATGAGGTAAATTTCGAAAACAACTCCTCTAGTCTTAGTGATCAACAACTCAGCCTTACGGCCTACAACAACTCAACCATTAATCCGCAAAAATCAGCAATCATGTGAGTTTCTAGCTCATTACACAAACAACCGGCAAGAAAAATACTAGCTTCCCTTACCTCGGTGAAGAGAAATCCGAGCTCCGGGAAGAAGAAGCGGAAGAAAATGGAGAAGAAAAAGCAAGCTTGATAACTCTCTGCACGACTCCGAGAAAAACCAGCACCTACTCAACACCTAAGAATCAACATCAGCCACCACACGAGGGAAAGGGGTTAGCTAGGGACAGTGAGGAGAAAAGAGAGTTTTTGAGTGAGTGAGAGTGAAGGAAGAGAAAATAAAGGGAGGGTTACGGGTCTCACAATCTCCCCAACAACAAGAGTTTTCGTCCCCGAAAACAAACTTACTTGGGAATAAACATGGATACCGATCCCTACACTACTGTTCTACCTCCCAAGTAGTCTCACCAGTAGCTGCATCCCACAACACATTCACCAGAGCAATGGACTTGCCCCTCAGCTCCTTCAGCTTATGATCAATCACAGCTACTAGCAACTTCTCAATCGTCAGATTCTCCTTCACCTACACATCATCCAGCTCCACCACATGACCAAGGTTATGAACATACTTCCTCACATACAATTGTGTCAGCTTCTCCAAGGACCACTTGATGTTGACAGGCAAGAAATGCGCACACTTGGTCATATGGTGAAGATATATGTCCCATGTTGAGATACATAGTGCTAATAAGGTGATAAGTTTAAAGTTGTTTTAAAGTTGAATCCCTTAGCATGTCATGGTTGAATGACCAATTTGAGTAAGGTATCTAGTTAGAGATGTAGTCTTTGACTAGGTACTAGAGGGTGCGTGGTACTTGGAGGACAGTGGGTGAGCTAACTCCATATGTGGATTGGTGATGCTAGCCAAGGTCGTGCTAGGCTCATACCCAAACCCTTCTGTCCTGACAGTAGTACTGGACCTCCGAGTCTAAGTGGCACACCTGAGTAATCAACTATTATTGTCTATACCTGGTTCTCTTCGGAGTTCCTAACGCTGTTCTATACCTGACCTGGTTGTGATAGGTCAAACGCTGGATTCGGTAGGGTTTATGCCACCTAGACTGCTCAACCTCAGTTGTTGGAGATCTCCTAGTTGTATATGTCTGACGATGTATTAGTTGATGTTGCATGGGTTGTTGTATTCAAGCTGTATATAATGTTGTATGAATGAGTTGATAATTGAGCTATTGTGATAAATACTATGTGATTGTGTTGTGATGAGTTGTTGATCACTAGGGCTAGAGGAGAAGTTTTCGAAGTTGTTCATCCTATTGTGCGGATTGAGATAGTTGTGGTGCTCTGAGAGCCTAATTTTGTTTAAAAACCCTCCTTGGAAAGTTGTTCCTTGGAGTGGATGATGTGTTGTTCTCCTCTAGGACTTGGTTGGTCCCGTGTGTGGGCAAGGTCGAGGCACACGTGTATGAAGCGACCACGGTATAGGGGCTAGGCCGAGCTATACCGATTACAAGCGGCCAATTTGAATAAAGTATGATGTGTTGAAAATGTTGTTTCTATTAGATGATATTGTATATCTATTGTTGTAGGTGTTATGTTGCTTTATGTTGCAAGTTGAAAGTAGAATTCTATTGTTGTTTATTATATGTTGATGCTATTTTTTTATGTTTATTGTTTTGAGCTTACCCTAGTGTGTTTTTCCTATGTGGTTGGGACTACGATGACCATACCTTGGTATGCGAGCAGATCGGAATAGGTGTTCTGCTGGACTGGGTGAGCTTCAAGACTCAGGAGGAGAGCTAATGTTGTAGCTAGTTGATTGGTAGCTTTTGACTACTTAGTTATTATATAGGATATTATTTCCCTACTTTCAGTTGTATATATATATATTGAGACTTTTTAGTTGTGTATTCTCATTATATATAATGGTTTAGTGGTGAGTTATTTTTTTTATACTTTTTTTTGACGTTATAAACAGTGTAAAACTTGACAAGTCGTTATACTTATTTTATAATAAGTTTATTATAAAATAATAATATTTTAACCTTTCCCGAACGTGATTCGAACTTTTTTGCGGGATGAAGCACTGCTCATTTTAAAAACAGCCTCATTTGACTAATAAATTTGTAACACTGCATTATAAAAGTAGCACCGTAAAAGTTAAAAAGCCGAACTATCTTGTAAGGAATCCATAACACAAATAAAAGTGGGAATGGTGACAGACAGTTGTTATGCCATAGGGGAGTCAAACGTGTTGTTGTTCACATATCACATCGTCCGTCTCTTTAGACCGGGTCTCAGGCACCACTCCATAATAGTCCCATCCATGACATCATTCAAGGCATCAAACCTTGAATTTAATTTGGGATGATTCTGCATGTCAATTTCCATTGATCCTCCTACATCCATGAGGATGAATGTAACAAAAATAAAAATATTAATATATAACTTATAATAATTATTACTACTAAATTACTATATAGACAATAAAATATTTAGATATTTAGATAAATATAGAGAATCTTTCTAATATTTTTCTTTTTCTTTAAATCTATTAGACAATGAAATATCGTAGACTTTTTTAATATGCAAGACTAAAGATTCCCTATTTTATTATCATAATAACATTTCACTAGTTCCTTTATTAAAAATTAATAAAATATGCTTATTATTATTGAAATGTAATTCAGATTATATATAAATAGACCCATTTGTATAATAAAGAAATACACATACAAACAAAATATCTTCTCTGCATGTTATTTTATAACAACTTCTTATTATCAAGTAATTAATTAGATTAATAAGATAATTAAATCAAACAAATTATATAAGTCACATAATATTTTTTTTTTAACATTTTCCCACTTAGCTCATATAGATTGGCCTTATCATCAAAAATTAAATATGGTCATTTAACTTGAAGCTTAAAATTCCTCAAAAACTATATAAAAATTATCATACATGAATCATGCGTTATGTTTCAAAATAAACATTTTCTTTCATGTATTATAATGCATAATACTTTCTAATAATTGAAATAGGTTTATACTATAATGATTCAAATGAATCATATCTTTTTATGTCAAACTTAATGTGTATAAAGTCATAAAATTAAAAAAGACAAACTTTAATACAAGTCTTTGAATATATATGATCCTAAAATATACTTAATAACTCTTATTATTATTATTATTATTCTATAACCAACTTCTTATTATCAAATAATTAATTAAATTAATAAGATAATTAAATCAAACAAATTCAATAATTTTTCCCCATCGGTCTAAATCTTGGATATTAGAGCATCTATAATAGGGTTGCTTATAAGCAACTCCCTGTACCACATCACTGTCACATTAATTATGGTCCACTTTATGAGTTGCTTAAATTTTAGCAAAGTTACTTGTAGAAACAACTTTATTAAAATTTAAGCAATCTATAAAATAGATTAGAGTTGATGTGGAAGTAACGTGGCACATCCTCTTAAAAAAAGCGGAAATCACTTGCAAAGCTGGATATAATGTTGGGGCCACCTTTTAATTCTTATCTTTATTCGGTGAGACAGCATTAGTGATAATCTGCGAGAAAAAGCCTTCATTCCGTGGCCTTTTTTATTTACTTTTTTTCAACAAAGCATGTGGGTGGGCCCATAGACATAGTTGCACCTTTGCCGGTCGTCGTATGTTGAGTG